ATATTCCCGGGATTTTCCCGGGATTTCCCAGGACATTTTTCCCGTGATTTTCCCGGGCTATTTCCCATGCCTTCCCCCCGATATTCCCGTGATTTTCCCAGGATTTCCCAGGACATTTTCCCTGGGATTTTCCCGGGCTATTTCCCGTGCCTTCCCCCCGATTTTCCCGTGATTTTCCCGGGATTTCCCCGGGGTTTCCCAGGACATTCCCGTGATTTCCCCATGATTTTCCCGGGCTATTTCCCGTGCCTTCCCCCCGATTTTCCCGTGATTTTCCCGGGGTTTCCCGGGATTTCCGCACCGCGGATGCGCATCCCGCGGGGGCTCCTCTCCACGCCCCCCACCAGCAGCAGCAGCAGCGACTTCTTCACGTCCTCGTGGCCGAAGATCTCGGGGGCGATGGAGGCCGCCAGCTTCCCGTAGAAATCCTCCCCTGGAAAGGGAAAACATCGGGAATTCTGGGATCAGGAACCCCAAAATCGGCTCAGGGACCCCAAAAATGGCTGAAATGGCCCCAAAATCGGCTCAAATGGCCCCAAAAATGGCTGAAATGGCCCCAAAAATGGCTGAAATGGCCCAAAAATCGGCTGGAATTGCCAAGGGGAGGCCGCCAGCTTCCCGTAGAAATCCTCCCCTGGAACGGGAAAACATCGGGAATTCCGTTCTAAATACCCCAAAATCGGCTCAAATGGCCCCAAAATCGGCTGAAATGGCCCCAAAAACGGCTCAAATGGCCCCAAAAATGGCTGAAATGGCCCCAAAAATGGCTGAAATGGCCCCAAAATTCATTGGAATTGCCAAGGGGAGGCCGCCAGCTTCCCGTAGAAATCCTCCCCTGGAATGGGAAAACATCGGGAATTCTGGGATCAGGGACCCCAAAATCGGCTCAGGGACCCCAAAATCAGCTCAAATGGCCCCAAAATTGGCTGAAATGGCCCCAAAATCTGTTCAGGGACCCCACAATCTGCTCAGGAACCCCAAAATTTGCCCAAATTGCCCCAAAATCAGCTGCAATTGCCCCAGAATTCCCAAAATCAGCTGGAATTGCCTCACAATCAACTGGAATGACCCAAAAAATTCCCCAATTCCCTCTTTTCCCCAAATCCACTTTTTTTTTCTTAAATCCCATTTTGCCATCAAAACTCCCCTTTTTTTTCTTTTCCAAAATCCCTCTTCCCCCAAAATTCCCCTTATTTTGCCTTAAAATTCTCTTTCTGCCCTCTAAAACTCCTCATTGCCTCCCAAAACCCCCATTTTTGCCCAAAAATCCCCATTTTTGTTCCAAAATCCCCCATTTTTTTGCCCAAAATCCCCATATTTGTCCCAAAAAAATCCCCCTTCTTGTCCATGAATCCCTTTTTTGCCCAAAATGCCCATTTTTGTCCCCAAATCCCCTTTTTTTGCCCAAAATGCCCATTTTTTCCCAAAATGCCCATTTTTGTCCCCGAATCCCCTTTTTTTGCCCAAAATGCCCATTTTTGTCCCCGAATCCCCTTTTTTTTTTCCCCAAATCCCCTTTTCTTGGCCAAGTCCGGGTTTTTGCCCAAAATCCCGGTTTTTGGCCCCAGATCTCACCTGTGCCCGTGATCTCCTGCAGCTCCTCGGGGCTCAGCTCCGCTCCCTCCCCCTCCTCCTCCTC